GGAAACCTGTCTAGAATGGAAAAAGGTATGTGCTATTTTAGAATATAATCTTTTATTATTTTTTTTTTAACAGAAAATGTACTTTTTGTTGTAAAATGAAATGTAAGACACTTCATTTTACAACAAAACAGTAATTTTTGTGTAAAAAAAATTACATTTTGGTTTAGTTTAGTTTAGGTTCCAATTCTCACCAGCTAACTAACTAGGCTATTTTGCCTCAATAAAGTCATTTTTATTAATAGTTAGAAAGGTAGTTGTTAAGTTAAAGTATTGTGTAGGAGAGAAGGATGTAGAATATGGTCGTGCATAATAAGAAATTACTAAATTATGCTTTATATAAGTAATAAACAGAATATCCAAGTAATATACTGTTAATAAGCAACTAGTTAAGTGAGAATTGGACCCTAAAATACTGATATTTGTGACCAAATATCCCAGCTAAAAGGGAACGTTAATCTTTGGACATTCAAAAATAAAGTTTTATAACTTAATGGGAACATTAGCAAAACATTCTTGGAACATATTTTTGTTTGGAGTCTCATCCTAAGAAGTCATATGACTGACGTCTTGGGACGTCTTTTGACCATACGTCAACATCCGTCTTTTTAGGGTACCCTTAAACGTCGGTTACATGACGATCCCGGGCCATCATACAACTGACGCTTTACCTTTAACGTCGGTTAGGTTTAGGGGTAGGTTTAGGTCTGGGGTAGGGTTAGGATCCGATAACGTCATCTAACCGACGTTTAAGGGTACCCTAAAAAGGCGGATGTTGACGTATGGTCAAAAGACGATACTGCTTTCTAAAACAATTATCAATTGACATTTAGCTCTACTATATCAGCATGTGTGTTTTCCAGGCTTTATTGATCCTTCCAACTGAATTCTCAGCCCAGGAGATGGTAAAGGTTTACTCTGCCATCCCAGTTCATATGAGACAGCAAAGTTTAGAGCTGGTGTCTCAAAAAGTTGACCCTAATTCACCTGTGAGTTAACACACTATATTTCCTTGCATAAATACTTCATTTTTTGTTTATTTACTTATTGGATTTGATTATTTTTTCCTTAGGTGTCAGTGTTTCATGCTTTTGTGGGGCCATCAATGTCAAATGCAAGTATCACTTGGTCTTGAGACATTTCAAATATTTAAGCTTAAAGCTACACTGTGTGATTTTTACCCCCATCTAGCGGTGAAAAGGTATACGACCATCCAGTGAATATTAGTTTCTGTTCCTCTCAATTCCGATTTTGTTTTAACTCCTACGGTGGCCAATGTAGTCCAAGATTAACATGGCGAAGCTTGAATTAACGGGTATGTCCCTCTTTGGCTAATGTACTTTCAAGATGGAGGGGCAACATGGCGACTGACATTAACCTTACCTGTATGTATTTTCAATGGCATATGATACACTCACAAGAATACTTTATTACTTGAATGAAGTAAATATACATTAATGAGCACATATATTTTTGAAAGAACTAAGTGTTTTTAGCTAAGAATAAACTAAAAGAGTTACACAGTGTAGCTTTAAAAAACACATTCTTTTTAACTTACAACTTCCATCTATCCTCCATGACTCTTAACAACAAGTCCTCACTGTCCTTTAGGGGCTGTTGACGCCTTTGGACCATTTGCTGGTTGTGTGTAATGTTCCTAACCAGCCCTGTGCTGCAACAGGAGTGCTACGCCTGATAAAACCCTTTGGAAAAGTTTTCAGAACTCTGGTGTTTAACGGAAACAAGGTAAGCTATACTGTTGCAGAACACTAAAGACATTTTTGACAGGAGCATAAAAGTAGAAAAGTGAAAAAAAATGTGAAAACATGAAAGAGTATGACTCCATTTCCATAGTCATTCTTTTACCTGTATTTGATTCTAAAAGATCAATATTTTCTGTTTTCTAGGTGGATGCTGAACAGTGCCATTGGAACAAGAGCAGTATCCAGATGGTTTTAGAAATGGAATCTGCTTCTGTTGCTCGATCTGTATTTGAGTGGTCTCACAAAATTCCTTGTATTTATCACAACCATCATCTCTCTTTCCTCAGAGGATGTAATATACAGAAAGATACATCTGAGGTCAGCCCAGCCAAAAACCCTCAAAGTGTTTCCCCTTAAATATGGTATATTTTCAATACCTTTGTAATAAAATACAATGAAACAAGGTTATAAGAATATTATTTTTTTGTCTTTCACTTTTTATAAAGTTGTATATTTATGATGAAGAAGAAGATAACAATTAAAAAATTGAATCATCATATTGGTAACACTTTATAATAAATGAACACTAATAATTTGTCAAGAATCAAGCCGGCTCTGTCTCAATATAGTTATGTTTATTTAAAATAATTTTAAAAAGAAGCATAAACACAACGAGGGGTGTCTGTTTTATCCGTTTTTGTGACTAACGTTTTTTTAGTATAACCATGGAGTATAAAATTCAATATAAATTCTCGGTATTGCATTGGACTCTACGATCGGAGGAAGTTATCGAGCATCCTTACACCTTCACCGGAAATAACGCCGTGCAGAGAGCCCATTGTTTCATACACCAAGATAAATCAGGCTCTGCATTGAAAATGGAATTTGAGCTGTGCCAAAGGGGGGAATATTATCTATGACACACTCAAATTGACCACAAACATAAGAAAACAAGCAAGACATCTTCAAAAGAGCACATTCCCTGACCGGGAATCGAACCCGGGCCGCGGCGGTGAGAGCGCCGAATCCTAACCACTAGACCACCAGGGAGTGATGTAATTAGCTTGACAAATTCAGTAGTAGTCAGATCCACGGCCGCATTAACCATAGGGCTAGGCGGGGCTTAAGCCCCGGGGCCCAAGCAAGGAGGGGGCCCGTGATTGGCTGTGGAGCAGATACTGCAAGCCATCTGATTACCAAAGCCTTACCACGCAACAACGTCCCCCACAAATTATCCCTGTTATTTAGTTGCACTTTGCCTTATATTCCATGCATTATCATGGAATCATTATCATTAATAGAGACGTTCGCAAAGACCCGCCTTTTTTAGGTACTATGTGACGGACGGGCCACGAGCCAGGCGGCTCTCGCGAGTCACGCACATCATGTTCTCATGCACTCACGCAGTGAAAAATACTTCGCGGGGCAAAGACTAACGTTACACCGAGTGATTACGAGAGAGAGTTCAGAATCAGAGCAGCTTACTGTTGATATGAAACAAAGTCTCAACTTTCAAATATTGTCATTTAAGTAATTTAAACATTACCGTTTTCAAGTTCATGTCCACCGACTGACAGCTTTGTTGTCGGACAAAGTTGCGTATTCGGCGTTATGATTGGCCAGGCCACCTGTCAATCAAACCCCCGTAGGCATGCAGAGCCAACGGCTCTGAGCAGGGCATGGTAAATTGAAACGTCAGGTTTTAATTTGATATGACAAATATATTTATTCTATATTTAACTTGTGAACGACCGACCTGCTGCTGCACGTAGGCCTATAGATGATTGCTGCCTGCGCCTTATTAAAATAGGTTATACATCAACCAATAAATCGCCTTTACTCTTCTCTTCATTCTAATCTAGTCTATTCTTAAAACACAGCGTCATCGACCCCACAAACTTTCGGTAAGTTTGAATATTAACTTGATGGATGTATAATTTTGCTTTTTGTGTTTGATTAAACTCAATATTCGCCTAAAGGACTGGCGATAATATATCCGGTAGAAATATTTAAATTTTGCTGCGCCATCATGATATAAGTTTATCATTTAAACGCGTTTTTAAACGTTGTGGTTTGGATACAAATTATTTCAAACTGCTCAGGCACAGTGAGCACTGAGCAGCGGGAGAATTTATTTTGTAAATGCTGGTTTTGAGACCAAGGTGAACCATAGACTGTGGTGAACTTGAGACGGTTTTGCACAGCGCACTTGAATCCGACTCTGAGGTCTCAAAGTGACAGACGCTGCTAATAAAGCTGCTGTCGCCATGTGTGTCAATAATGTTAATCAAACATCAGAAAGAAAGTAATTTACTGCATTTGACTGAATTACTTTTGCAAAATTAACAAGAATGAATGTTGAATTTATAGTGAAAACCATGTATTGTATATTTGATTACTTTATATAATATTATTCAGTGCTTTAAGTTTTTCATAGGTCGATTTATTGTGCCTTTGTTCTATTTTAATTTGTGACTCTTGTCATCAGTAAGCTTGAGATTATTTTCTTAAGCTACTATTATTTTTTGGTGATATTGAAATTGGTCACAATAATTATGAAATTTTAGTCAATACATTTTGATATGATAAAAAAAATCATGTTAAAAGTAACATAACTTAACTGTGAAGTATATCATAGATGGATAAAATGACTCGTAGGCTATAATAATATAACATTTAGCTCATGTAGTTGGTGACCTAAAGTGGTGGGGGGGCCCTGCAGTAACTCATAGCCCCGGGGCCCAGTGAGCTCTTAATACGGCCCTGGTCAGATCATATGGTTTTACCGGACAACCAAACCTTGACTATTTCCTCCGAAACAGGAGCAATTACAATGTTGAATTTTCATCTTAGTCTGTTTAGCTTTTATGCGTGTCTATGTAGAACTTTTTTAATCACCAGGGGTTGTTCTATCTATTTTTAATCATGTGAGTGGGAGTGGGACATATCAGATTCAAATCGGGATTAATGATACTGACATTTAGAAAGTCCTGAATAAAAATCAAATGTACCTTAACGGGTATATGGCCATGCGTTCGATTCCCTGTAAATGGACAGATGAAATATTGTGTATCTTCAATGCAGATAAAGCATCACGAGATAGGCTTTAACCTCTTATAAAATGTAATGTTCGCAAACAATGATGTTTTCTTATTTTGCCAACTTAATACCAATACTCGGTACTATCCAAACCACATCCAAGACGTTGGCGTGAAACCAAGCAACGCTAGGCCTTTTCCACTTAAAATACGAACATTGCTTAAAATATACGAGACAAAAAAAAAAACAGGACACACTAAGTTACATTAATAAACGAAAATTTAATTATATTCAATAACTTAAATTACTTAAAATATGAGACTTTTTGGAATACAAAGAAAACCCAGATGGGGCGCTCTTTTATTATTAGTACTCGTGCACCACCTGCTGTTCACTGTCAGTATTACAATTCACGGATATTGAACATTAACGTAAGAGTAAGTTAGTCACTGGTAACACCAATACATCTTAATCTTATTAATGAATCGGTTCATATTTCTTATCCCCATTTAAATTTATTACAGATTTATGATAATTAGTGATGGGAAACAGAAGCTTTCTGAAGCGTTTGAGTCTTTCATCAAATTCAAAGCTTTGAACACAATGAGCATTAGCGACATCGCGTGGTCAGACTTGTTTTCTCCACTATATTATCTAGAAGTCACCGCAGACAAGAAAGAGCAGGTGACCAAACAAAGCTTCAGAAGTCAGTGACATACAACAAGAGTGGAAATCAATCTGGGTCTAGTATCAGTACAGTTCTATCTAATCTGATCTAAATTAATTGGTACCAATGAAACCACAACTCGTGTTATGTGTAGCCTGCCTGGTCAACGGGTTCACGGAGCCCCGCTAAAGGGGGGAATGTTAGGACAATACCAAGGGCCCACGCACTTCTGGGGCCCTCAGAGATCGATTACATTAATAGCAACAGGGCCCAACCTCATATTCTTTCATAGGTCCCAAAATTACTAGCGGTGCCCCATAATTGATCAATGATTTATGTTATAGTTTAAGTATAGTGTTAAATCATGAAATAAATAATGCCTCCCCGACCTTCCGATACTGCATGACGTTCGAAGCTCAACGTTCAAACGTTCAAACGTCGTACAAGCATCGGTACAGCGTGTGTGAAAACTGCGTCGGAGCCCCGGTATCAACCTTCCAATCACTAATTATAATGATTGCTTTGGCATTCAAAAAACACTGGATTCATAGAAGGCATAAGTTGGAAGCCCTGCATCGTCATCAGATATGTTTAATTATATCAGACTCCTTCACAGGAGGATGACTGCTGATGTGTCTTGAGGTTGCAGATCCAGGCGAATCGTTTCCCACAGCGGGAACAGATGAAGGGTTTCTCTCCTGTGTGAACTCTTTGGTGTTTCTTCAGGTTGCCTGCCTCTGTGAACAGCTTGCCACATGTATCACACCTAAAGGGCCTCTCTCCTGTATGCACTCGCTGGTGTGCCACGACATTGGACAGCCCAGGGAATCCCTTTCCACAGTACTTACAAACGTAACTTTTCCGTCTACCTTTGTCCATTTGCTTTGGTAGTTGCAGCCCAGCAAAAGAAGGCCCAGGCTGAGTGAAGTTGGACCTCATTTGAGGAATCACAGTGAAATATGAGGGGTTTGTTGCACTCGCGGTCTCTGTTTCAGTTTGGCTTTGCCTCAAAATGGCAGCTTGATTCCATCTTTCATCTTCTCGTATAGGTCCCTCTCCTGCACCTGCATTTATAACAGTATGTGTGTGGGTCGATGGCACTCCATCCCGTCCACATTTGGAGCTTCTAACAGATGATACAGTGTCTGACTGAACCAGCATACAGTCTTGATCCTGGTCCGACTCTGTATATGAGCAGGATGGATGTGTGGGCCAGTGTGTAAAGCTAGTTTTATGCTCTGCAGGTCTCTCATACAAGCAGCCTTTTCCAGAAATTTCAGTGGCTGTCTTTTCATGGTTCTTGGGTGAAGTTCTGCTTTTCACCATTCCCTTGGGTACATGCCCTGAGTCTGTGAGAGCTGCCGTTTCTCCTGTTGTTAGACCCTTGCTAGGTTGAACAACAAACTTGTGGTACCTGTGCTGTTGAGAGCTACTAGGCTCCACAGTACCTGGATGCAAATATGTTCATATATTGTCAGAGCAGTTTTAATTTGCAAATAATCCTTGCTTTAAATTAAAACTTTTTTTCCAATCTACAGTATTTGGTAAAATTGTTTAAAAAGTGTATATAAAGTGTATATCAATATGCATTGATGGGTTAAATCGTATATATTGATGCCATGTTTACTTTATTATCTGCCTGTAGCGACCTTGTGCTTGGGATAGCAGCTTGATAATTAAAACATATTGTTATTATTTACTCACCCTGTATGTTTATTTGCAGTCCAGTGGATGGAGAAAAGTCGGTTTTCTGGCTTCTATCATCATTCAAATGGGAAAATTCCACTTCTATAGGCTGGAAACAATATAAAACTACATTTAATTTTTCACATTCATCCTGAAGCATCAAAATATTTTCCTGCAGCAGTGGCTTGATAATTTCCTGTTCCTGTTTTTTTTTTTTTTTACATTTTAAAAGAACAGTAAATAAACAAACCTTCTCTGTTCCAGGTGCAACAGAGCTTTTGGCTGGTGAGGTAGAAAGTCTCCCACTACAAATGTCTGTATTTGACTCAGCTGACCCAGAGGAAAAGAGAATGAATGTTAATTGTTTTGATACAAGATTCCAGAACAAATGTGTGTAAGCTAAATGTTAAAGGATTAGTTCACCCAAAAAAGAAAATTTCCCCTTCATACAATAAAAGAAGATATTTTGAGAAATGTCTTGTTTATATACACAGTAGTATCCAAAAATCTTTTTCAATGACTCTACAAGTTTCATTTAACCATAATATATATATATATATATATATATATATATAGGTGTTTTTTTATATGAGGGAAGAACAAAACACAGTTTAAGTTGGTTAAAGTAGTCTAAAATAAAAATTATTTTAGTCAGGCAAACTACAGCTACAGGTTTTACTCTGGAATTGTAGGCCTACTATGCAAAATTATAAATATTTAATTAGTTCTCTCTTGTTTTTGCATGGGATCAGAACGAGTAAGTGGCTTTTAACAAACTTTACAGGAGAGACAAAACAAAATTTTGACCACACTTCAATCACCTGTATTATTAACCTTAAATCACAAACACTGCAACCACAGGCATACTTACATGAATGAGTATTTAAGTAAAAAATGTATGGTAAATGAACACAATGAACATGTTCTAAAAAAAATAATAATAATCAAATACGTCAGATAAGCCTTTTTGTTGCTTTATTTAATAAAGTTTAATCTGAGAGAGGTACCATTGGCACCATTGGATAGAGCTCATTGAGACTCATATTCACCCAAAATGCCACTTACGCCCCTCTGGCTCCAAGCCCTCGCCAGCCAGGCTAAAAATGATATATTCCACCATTCCCTTAAAGGGATATTTCACTTTGAAATTAATTTTCGATATGTTTTGGGCATCCAAGATGTAGGTGTATTTTCCGTTGTTGTCTATCAGTCATATAATGCAGGTATAGGGGGTCCACATCAAAGAGCATGCACCGAGAAGTCAAAATTAAACATGATGTAAATGTAACGTAAATGTAAGTACACATTGATGGCCTAAGACATGAAACGAGCGGTTTGAGGAAAAAAGTGATCGCTTGCACGTGTACGTCACTCATTGTTTTCACAGAGATTTCAGAAGTGTTATTCTACACTGTGAAGATCATATAAACATATTTAGATATACAAGAAATCGCAATGGAAGACGATTTCAATATATCTAAATATGTTTAGTGAAAGGTAAAACTTCCGAAATCTCTGTGTAAGTAAACAATGAGTGACGTACACACCCAAACGATCAATTCCGGCCCATGCGCAGACCGAAGCGCCCTCGCCATCAGATCACTTGGACGTGACTGTGATTACAAGAGGTAAAAACACTATAAATACTGTTCGTTTTCTCACACAAACCGCTCGTTTCGTGTCTTAGGCCATCAAATACAATTGTATTGTATTTATCACAATACAATACAATTGTCAGTTTTAAGACAAATCTGAAAACACACTTTTACTGTCTTGCTTTTAATTCTCTTTAATTTTTTTCCCCTCTGGCTTTATTTATTTATTTAAGTGTATTTAAGGAGCCCTGTACTTATTTAATGAATTTGTTAAGGCATATTGTTTCTGCCTTTCCTGTTTTAACCTGTGAAGCACTTTGGGTCAACTGTTGTTCGGTTAAATGTGCTATACAAATAAAATGACTTGACTTGACATGATCAGTGTGTACTTACATTTACGAGTCAATAAATCATGTTTAATTTTGACTTCTCTGTGCATACTCTTAGAGGTGGACCCCATATTTGACTGAAAAATATCAAAAAGACAACAACGATTTGACCGAAAAATATCAAAATTGAAAATACTGTGGAAACCAGGACACCTACATCTTGGATGCTCTTGAGGTAAGCTAAAACATATCAAAAATTAATTTTCAAACTGAACTATCCCTTTAAGCAGCAATTCGATGACTGCTTTTTGGCCCTCTACTCACCATCCTGCACAATTATGGATTGTGTCTGGCTTCTTTCCCACTGGTCATTTAGATCCTCCTTTATCACTATTGTTTCAGGTTCTCCATCTTCCACCTGTCCTTGCTGCTGAACACATGAAACAAGGTTTTGTTACACAACATGACCCTGGCTGGCACATGAAACATAAAGGTTGTGCATACTGTACATGAATAAAGCTTTCTCCGTCTAAATTAACAAGGTATTTGGTGTGCAGTGTCACAATGTTCCTAATATGAAAAATTAGAAACAGCTTTTCCTCACTTAAAAAACAAAAGTGGGAAAGTATTTATGCCACTGTTGAACAACCAGAGTATGATTTATTAGTAGTATTTAACAATGGTTGTTAAGTGTGGTATGTGGAAGTAATCATTCCATCTTTTCATTAATCACAATTTCAGTTTTGTAAAAGGAAAAAGCAGAAATTGTTAATGCACAGAGCTTACAAATACTATTTAAATGTTTTTCCTGTCCTGAAACTACCTGCCTACGTTCATTACTTTATATAGCACCAATAAGAGACAGGCATTGGTCTCAAAAACAAACACAAAATGAGTGCAGAAATGTTTATTTACACGTCAAACAATTTATATAATATACAAAAAAAAAAAAAAAGCCATTTTGACTAAGACTCTTTACTTTTTCTACAGAACACCACAGCACTGAACTTAAGTCTTAAATTGTTAATTATATAAAAAACACTTTTTTCATCTCGCATCACTATTGATCAATAACCATGTAAATCATGTAAGGACTCAACATTAATGCTTGTCTGGAACAGGAGGATTTTTTTGAAGGGGCTAATAAAAGAGAATTTTACTTGCCCGACAGGACACATGGCCTGCGTAAAACGTCCAAAAAATAAATAAATAAATAAATAAATTGGAATCACCTACAAGTGAGAATTATTCTGATTTTATTTTATTTCGTGTAAAAGGCGATGGACGGTGGATAATAGCTAATATGTAACGTATGTATTATAATGCACTGACGGTAACAGGGTTCTCGGGGAAAAGGAAACTCGGTTAAAATACTGCGGTAAAACTTAAAAAATATGAGAAACATATGATGAGTTAAGCCACATCACATGACCATGAGTGCAGTTTACCTAAATACCATCATAGAACAGTTCAATAAACAAGTAGTTTATATTCAGTCATTTACATTTTAGATGCAATACTGAACTGTTTTTGTTCCGTTTCAGCAGCAAAAATATCTCCAAAGATCACAGCAACACTCAGCCGTGTTTTCAATACTGAATCAGTGTTTTGAACGAATCTGTTGAGTCAGATTAAATTACCCATTCATTATTGATTGAATCAGACGTTTGAATGAATGACTTGCTCATTAAAACGGTCACTTGCCATCACCTACTGGTTTCTTATTAAACCTGTTTAAGAATTTGAAATGGAAGATGAAGCATACATTTAAAAAGATTATGGGGGAAATCATTTATAAAGGTTAAGCGTAAATATCAGAAATACGAAGATTTAAAAGAATACACTACTTTTTTTGGAAATAGACTAATTTGACCACTCCCCCAGAGTTAAACAGTTGGGTTTACCGTTTTCGAACGTATTCAGCTGATTTTTTTTATATTTAGAAGAATATCAGTAACCAGACAGTTTCTGGTCTCATTGACTTCCATAGTATATTTTTTTCCTACTATTGAAGTCAATGAGACCAGAAATTGTCTGGTTACTGATATTCTTCTAAATATCACAAAATCGGCTGAACACATTCGAAAACAGTAAAACTCAACTGTTTAAGGGAGTGGTAAAATGAGCCTATTTCCAAAAAGAGGAGTATCCCTTTAAATGTAAAAGCTAATAGAACGGATGAGAATATTGCTTCAGAATAAATTATATTTTCACTGCAAAAATCCAATTTTTTCCAGACAAGCACATTATTTACTCAAACAAGTGAATGACTGATTTACTTATCTGAAGGACAAGCACATGAAAAAGGCTTAATGAAGAGCCCTAATGCATATAATTTAAATGTAAGTCTTTATCCAGAAAAGATATGATGGTGCTAGAATACACACTCATGGTCACTGATCTTATCAGTAATATAGTGATCATTTATTGACTCCTTGAGAAAGTAGTTCTTCTGCAGTAAACATATCAGGATGGTTCTTCTGCTGGTGGTTTTTGAGGTTCCGTATCCAGGCAAATGTCTGCCCACACTGGTTACAACTATATGGTCGTTCTCCTGTGTGGACTTTTTGGTGTTTTCTCAGGTTTCCCGCCTCGGAGAAGAACTTCCCACAGGTGTTACATTTGAACGGCTTCTCACCCGTGTGAATCCGCTGGTGGATCACCACCTTTTTGGGGCGGTTGAAAACTTTGCCACAGTATGTGCATGCAAAAAGTTTCTCACGAGGAACTCTGTCGTTTCTAGTCCGACCAACTCTTTGTTGGTTAAAACTGACATCTCTGAAATTATGGTAGCTGTCCGTGCCCTGTGTTTTTGAAGATGTCGACGCCACTGCTGCAAAGCCACTTGATGCCAGAGGCGGATTGGAGGAAGGAAAGAGGACCATGCTATCCTGATGTTCCACCCTCCCGTATTGTGGATAAACACGTGGAGCCTGGCTTTTCTCTTGTGTTACTTTCCTAGCCCACACAGAAATCTCTTCCCCCTCCTCCGCAGAGTCAACCTCTATGATCTCTGAACGCCGTACAGAGGCAGTGGATTGGCTCTCAGTCAATCTTGCATTGTTCATGTACACACAAGATCGCTGCCGCAAGTCTGCATTGTCACTCCCTTGCATTAAATAATCCCTCATAGGACTGGATTTTCCATTCAAATCACACTTTGCTTCAGCATGTAATTCTATGGGCTCTTGTGCATTCCCCTTAACACTCTCAAACTCTGGCTCAGATTTTAGCGCAGTGTCAGATCCACTGACCTCCAAAGTCGGTAGCTGCATCCCAGAGACTTGATCATCATCTTTCACCATCTGAACATCTCTAAAACCAGCTTCTCCAGTCTGTGGTGGAGTATTTGTTACTTCTGCAAGAAGAGAAACGGTGTCAAGTCAAGTTTTAAGATGGGTATTATTGTTGGTTACTCAACCTCATTTATAATAGGAGGCTTATGTTCTTCCATCCACTCACCACCATCTCTGATGAACAATCTCTGCTGTGTTTGGTCCTCCTCAAACATCTCATCCTTTATCAGCACGGTGTTTACTTCTGAAATTACTGCATCTCCTGTCTTTTGAAATGAAAGGAAATGTTTAATAAATCTGTATGTGTTACACTTATATAGACCATTTCACAAGATGTAAACAACACTGGTCCAGAAACACTTTTCTTTATTCACATGTAAAGAAAACATCTTAAAGATGTTTGTTTAACTTTTTGATTCAGTTTTAAATGTTCTGTTGGTTGTATTTTATCCCAGCTTTTATGCAGTGTTGAAAAACTGAAACAGGAAGTGCTTCTGGACCAGTGTTGTTTACATCTTGTGAAATGGTCTATATATGTAGTGTAGCTAAATATCGATCTATCATTTGTCTATATAACAGTTTATCTATCTATCCATCTATCTATTGTTTAATTGAATATAATAAAAAAAGACTATCTATTTGCTGTACAATGTGAGCTCATTATTAAATATCACAATAAAAACGTGATAAATTAGTTACTGCGGTTATCATAAAGAGATAGCTTACCTACCATACTGTTACTTTCATTTAACGTTACAGCCTGCTGAGGAGTCGAGTCTGTCGCTCCACCTCTCCACAGTCCCGTGTTAAACTGAGCTCCATACAGGACGTCTGAATGTATGAAAAGCGGAGAAACATTTAACATTAATCACATAATTCTTGATAGTTTATTTGGTGTGACAGATACACTTGACAGTATGATAGCATGAGAGGTTTTATGGCATCACACCGTTTGGTTGGTTCCTGTATTTCTCAGACAAAGCGGCGTTCACTTGAACTCGGTTAGTGCGATTCAGTGAATTCATCCTTCTCTCTGCAAACCCTCGTGCCATCTTAAGCTCCAGTATGTGAAGTTTTCTCTTCAGCGATTTGTTTTCACGCTGACATTGAGTCATCTGTAAGTTTATAATCGCGTAGTCGTCGTCAACGAGTTTACATATCTCAGCCACCGCAGCATTAGCCAGCACCTCCATAATGGAAGCTAACTGCGTCTGGAAAGCGATGCGATTCGACATGGTCAACGATTAAGCGTTCCACAGCACGTTTCAATAAACGCTCAGTGTTCTGGGAGATGAATAAAAAGTATTTAAAAAATCCGAAAGTTAAAGAAAATCTTCAAAACATCGTGAGAATAACAATCAGTTGCTTGGTTTTGACATCGTTAAGGACTTCCGGTCAGTAGTGATGACGTAAAAGCCATAAAAACTGCTTTACAGCGCACACCAATCTAGTGTCGACCATGGACAGTCAAAGAAAGGTGTCAACACTTCCTAATAAATGCATATAGTCTTTGTTAATACATTTGCTCAATTAATAAAACTGATACATTTTGGCTGCTCCGTCGGTTATGGTTTGGTTATTTTGGGCTTTTAACTCTCGATTTCTGAGCACATTGGATTCAATACGATTCCCCAAAAATCACACTATGAAACACAGAATCATGTACAAAATAGTAAACTCTTAATATCAACACTATCAGAATTATGTTTTAACCACTTTCAATGCTATTGAGTTAATAAATCGGTTTAATGTTTGTCATAAAAGAGAAATAAACAGAAATTTGCTTATTTTTATCTGGTTGCCTTGGAACATAAAAACATGTGGGTGAAATTGACAAGCAAACATCAGAATCATAATATAAATTGTGTGTAACCTACACTTCAAAACACATCAGTGTATCCTCATTCTGCATGCAAATGAGGAAAAAGTCACAAAGTGTTAAAAAAAAATTATAGGTTACCGGTATTTCCAAAAAGTGTCAAACTGACCCTTAACATCACATAAAGGGGGTTAAAGGGGACGGTTATCTCTAAAACTAATAATAGTGTCTCAATAATCTTTTATTAACTGTCAAAATAGTTCCAAACCTGTTTTGTAACTGGATCCCTGAATTATTTCACTTGTGGTCTGGTCTGCTGAGATTTTAGTCATGTGCTTGCTAATATGAAGCTAATATATATATATATATATATATATATATATATATATATATATATATAATACACACACACACACACAAATCAAAACAACTTTCATTTTTAAACAATTACAACATTTATTTTCAGTCATTTTTTCCACCACGTCCGGTAGAATGGATTAATATATTATAATATAAGTGGGGTGGGCTTGGGGGGAAATTTTGTTAAATATTACAATTAAAAAGCTACATGTTTGTGAAAAGAAATTATATTACAGATTTAGTTAAATCATTCCAAGGTCCTCAGAGACAACCTCTCGTGTTTGGACTAGCTTCTTTTCTTCGAGAGCCTGAGGAGTTTTGGGTGGTTTGTTAACTTTGCTGTAGATGGGTTGGTTCTCATCAGTCATTTTGTTTTGTTGAGAGTTATTGTTTTGGGTTGCCTGTATAACATCGGGTACGCTATAAATGGGCTCCTCAATCTTCTGGTCAAGTTTTTTACTTAAGATTAGTGCAACATGGTCATAAACCTCAGAGTACACAGGTTCTTGCTGCTTGTCGTTGTTCAACGTGGTCTTGAGGGCTTGACAGTCCATCGTGTCAGTAGGGTTGGCATGGACACAATTGTTGGGTTTTGGGCGGATAACATCAGCAGGATCAGAATACACTGGTTCTGAATCATCCCTATCAGGAGATGGGAGAGGCTCTTTATTTACAGCATGATGCGATTTGATGAGATCTGCTGTCTGTGATTCATGTCTGCCTAATAAAATTACAGGATTTGAATACACAGGCTCAATTAAGCTAATACCGCCACTAGGATTTGAGAGTGGGCTTTTTGAGGAGCTTAAGCAATCTGCTGGGTTTGTATATATAGCTTCGGTTAACCCAATAGGACTCACAGGTTTTGGAAGTACAGGATTGGAGATGTTTGGGCCAAGAGCATTTGCTGGATCAGGGTACAAGGGCAGTTTTGAGTCCGAAAGCTCAGGGCTGTTGTTACCCTCTGTATCAAGCAAAGGAACACTTTCAGGGCGTTTTGGCAGGGGTGAGCGAGGAGAGCGAGAACGTGGAGAATGTGGTGAGTGCTTGTCTTCAGTAACAGCAAGACTTTTCTGTTGCCGAATAACTGACTCGATAACGCGGAGGATCTCTTCACTCTGCCTGGTCTCAAAGTTAAAGGTGCCAGGGCCTGATTCACAGCGCCTGCCTGCTTCTATTGAAAACACCATCTGGAGGGGAATAGACAGAATGTTGAAAATAGCCTATTTGTATGCACTACTTGTACCAAAAATGAAATTTCATTGACCTTATCTCGACCATAGCGGCGCAGCAGCCTGTATGGCCACTCCATTACAGTCTTCCTGGTCTCCAGATCTTGTAGAACAAGTATGTCTTCACCAGCTTCCAGCCAGTACTGTCCTTTCAGGCCACAACGAACTGAAGACTCACTCTGCAGCACAACTACTTTGAACTCACTCACTAAAATGAAAGAGATATTGAGATTAGATGATCAGAATTAATCTTAAATTGTGATTCATTTTCAACCTGGTAAATTAAAGAATGAATTATTAATAGTTTAGAGATTATATAATCTATTTATGTTTTAAACCAGGTCTGCATGAAGGTCCGAATTCAGGAACACGACAGCCAATTGTTCAGATACATTTGTGTGTACTCACGTTGTTCTCTGGACATGTAGATCTGATTGTCCTCCATAAGTGGTACTGGTTGTGGAGCACTTTTAGTGTGTTTCTATGAAAGAAAAAATGTGAATACATACACCTACTGTTCAAAGTGTTTAAGGTTGGTAATATTTTTATATTTTTGAAAGAAGCCTCGTAGCCCTCAATCGGGTCATGGGGTCTATAGACCATTTCACAAGATGTAAACAAGACTGGTCCAGAAACTGGTCAGTTTGTAACTGTTTTCTTTATTTCACATGTAAAGAAAACATCTTAAAGATGTTGTTTAACTTTTTGATTCAGTTTTAAATGTTCTGTTGGTTGTGTTTTATCCCAGCTTTTATGTAGTGGGCCAGTGTTGTTTACATCTTGTGAAATGGTCTATACGACCCCAATCGAATTTTACTTAATAAAAAAAGGTTCCCTTCATCTCATTGGAATAAGATTTTGTGACTTTCCATACATTATCTATCTATACACACACACAAAAACTGTTCTGAAGATATGTAAAAAAAAATGTTTACATTTTTGGTCTTCGGGGTCCATATGACCCCACATTGAAATGAATGGGAAATGTGGAAAAAAAAACTAAATATATTTTCTTCATGTGTCAAAAAACATCCGGCATAAACACAGAAATGAAGGCCTAGTACTAGAGCATAAATGCAATGTATCATAAAAAAAATAAAATATTTAATATGAAAGCTAATGGTGTACAATTCAATCAATTGTTGGGGTCGTATAGACCCCGAACCACAGAAGTATAAACAGGAAACGAAGACCATTTGAAGGTTAAGCTCATCGTGCCTTCATTAATTAAAATACATAATTAATTAAAAATACAGTAAAAACATTAAAAAATAAGATTGTTAAATGTTATTACAATTGAAAAAAAATGTAATTTATTTCTGGGATGGCAAAGATGAATTTTCATCTTTAAGTTGAAAGCAGCATTGTTTTGTTTTTTTGTTTTTTTTCAGGATTAAAAATTCAAATCAAAAGAACAACTTTTTATATGAAAAAGAAATACAATCTTTTTTTTTACCATTATAAATGTCGTTTTATAGTCACTTTTGATCAGTTTTATGCATCTTTGGTGAATAAATGTATTTCATTAAAACAGAGTCTATATGCTTAAAAATACAGAACACACTCACCTGAAAGGCATTGTTACATATTAAGTCCACCCATTCTACACAGCTGTCTCTCTCTGCTGCAAACACCAGCCTCTTGTCTTCAGTTTCCAAACAGAAGGCAGACATGTTTTCCCCTGGACAAGCCTCTGCATGTGGAGGCAGCTTGACGACACTCACACAGTCAGCCAGACGTACAACTTTCCTCTCCGGGTGTCGTCTGACCACAGTTGACCGTTCGTGAACGGCTTCTGATAATTCTAGCCGTGCAATGCCATGCCGACTAGCCGGATGAAGGGCCAACCAATATCTCTTCCACTTCTGTTAAAAAAAAAAAAATCAAATATTATTTCTTAGCCTATATATTTATTATATTATAAATTATAATTATATTATAAATATTTATAATTTATAATATTTATTTATATTTATAATATCCCTAATGCATTTTTTATGCAATATACAAAATGAAAGTTGCATTTATCACGTTTGACAAGTTCCAGTCAGATCTGATGTATGTTTTTCAGGAGGAACTTGTACATCAGGTAATGAGCACACCTCTGGGCTCATTGCAAAAAGTGCTTAAAAAGCACCCTATGTTGGAGGAACGGATGTTGATTACTCACTCAGCCAATCCCTCAATACCTCACATGTATTGTGTGTGTTAGGTAGGGCCTGAATGCAGTAGGCTACAACGTGAAGTGTAAAGGCGTGTTTTTCTGTCAATGGAATGTACCGTAATATGAAAATCAAGACCGAGATGTGCGCACCAAGTTTCAACTTGTAGAGGCAGTTCCGTCTCATACCAGAACATAACTTTACACCAGTTCATGGTAAAACATATGCGAGCAAAAAATAAAATAAAAAAGAACCTCGAGCAAATACCATCAGGATTATTACACCTGCTTTATTTTACGTTTTTACAAACATGAATAGCCTATTAATTAAGAGTGCATGGTAAACAGTTTCATAACCATTTTTATTAAGATAAGCTCAGAACATTTTGTAGTTTTAGACTAGAGGTTGACAAACAAAGACAAACGTTGATGGCACAAAATAAATTAGGCTACAATGTTACGATGATGTCTTACCTCACCATGTTTCTGATGTTGTAGGTAAACTTCACCTTGTTTCCCGCGTGTCTCCATGTCTATTTTCTTAATCTCTGACAGCTCAAAAATTGCTTTAAAAAAAGTTGATCCTTTTACAGCACAATGTGTGACCTCTCTAAACTGTTAAAACATTACCATCCCGATGGTGGAGGGATTACATGAGGTAGAGTAAGTGCGAATTTAGACTCCTCCTCTTAAACAAAAAAGGACAACCACCGTTTGATTAACAGCAATATTCACTTGATCAGAATATATGAATTATACATTTGAATATGATTTTCTTATTTCCTCAACATCAGCATCTCCGTTCGGTCTAATCAATGTACATGGATGACCATG